AAAAAAAAAAAAAAAAACCTCTAAGAGGTATGCTACTCATTTTTAAATTTTCTATAAGTAATACTTCACACTATCTTTTCCCAAAGACCCCAGGCAGCAATACATCAACTTAAAGAGCCTCTCTGCCCTGCCCACTCTCCCCCATGCCAGCAGTGCGACTGGGGTTCATGTCATTTTCCAGCCCCGGTGTCTGTGTGTTAAATTCTCACATACTTAACATTGCTTAGATCTGTTCTGATAAATATATTTTAATCACATTTAAAATTCTCAGGAAAATGTCTTGGTCCCTCTGAAGAACAAGGAGCCTTCCTTTTTTGGCCTTTTACTAGAGAACCAACTCTAAGACTTCCTGAAAGTTTCTCCCACATGGCTAAAGTTCCTCATAAAAGATTTAATGAGCAAGTTTAACAACTGAATTCTGTAACCAACCTGCCTTTTATAAGTTCATTGCTGACTTCAAACGCTTTTCAAGATAAGTCATATTCTGGCATGAGGGTGATGTCAGGGAAAGAGACAAGGTTTTATAACTTTGAGAACTGGTTTGATGGCGCCATTTCAAGCAAGTGAATTCATTTTGAATCTAAAACTGGACAGTACCCTGCCCCTCCCAGGTTGGTCTAAAGGTCCTTGGAGATCTGCACGTTGATAATGCCTAGGGTGCTGGCCTGGTCTCACCCAGAGCTATGAGACCGGTCAGGTGTGGAGAGCTGTTCCGGCTTGTCGGCCACTGGAGCTCTGTGCTGCTCTGTTAGAGGCCTCATGGTCACCTGGAGGGTCTGTGCTTAGAAAAGGCAGCCTCATCCCCTTTTCTCTCCCCCAAACCTTTATCCTGTGGCACTGAGAGTGGGGCAACCCTGAGCAGACTCGGGGGTTGTTCATATCTGCCCTGATCCCTGCTGTGACGTGGGGTCAGGTTAGATGTACACATCAGCTCTGAAAAATGAACTTCTTACACCCATGCCTGCCTGTGCCCTTTACTGTTCAGCCTTCATCGGGGGCTTAGCTTACAGGAAATGCTAAAGTGCTCCTATAGATAGCTCTTTACCCAGCAACCCCATTGGATTTTCTTCAGCCATCCCACCACTATTCTTTGAAAAGGGGTCCGATCCCAGATCACACATCCCCTATTTCTCCTACATCTGGAACACTTCCTCAGTCTTTCCTTGACTTTTATGATCTTAAAGATTTCCTTAAGGGCCAGTTGTTTTGGAAGCTTGTTTTGTCCAGAGTTACCTGGTTATTCAACCAAGTTATGTGTTTGGGGCTAGGATACCACAGACGTGAAGCTTTGTTCTTTCTAGCATACCCCCGGGAGCACACATGGTATTTGCGTGTACCGGAACGGCTAGTGGGGTCAGCACCGATCACTTGCTTAGTGGGATCTTCCCAGTTTCTGTTCTGAGCTTAGGAGCATTTTCTGGAGAGATACTCAGCCTCTAGGGTCGTTCCTGCCCTCATTTTATTAGCATCTTTTTTTTTTTTTAAGACTTTTTTATGCATACAGAACTGGGGTACAGGCCATACATAGGTGCAGGGGCGGTGAGAGGATTCACCTGAGACAGAGTGGGGAGCAGAACAGGCCGACTGACAAAGTACACTGCTGAGGGGAGCGGCGGGCAGGTCAGGAGAGGTCTGCCGCGCCATGTGGTCACCTCCGGGGCAGGCGGGGATCGAACTCATGCGGAAGTGGCTTTAGCTTCTTAGTGCTGTGCTTTAACCCGCTGTGTCATCAGTGAGGGCTCCCGTGTTAGCATCTTTTGCTGTTTCTTTTCTTGATGATTTCCACATGGGCATTTTCTGCCTTCCATTTCTCCATTTATTAATTGTTACTCTGTAAGGAAGCACTTTCTCCTCTTTTAGCTTACTTAATCATTGGTTTTATCAATGTGGACTTACAAATTACTGTTTCAGTCAGTGGGTAATAATGTGTTCCTAGTATTTAGCATTCGTTTTTTATTCTGATTAACCTTTGGTTCTTGTGTCATTTTGCCACGTTCATCATTCTTTTGAGCATCTGGTCATAGCAAGGTTCCAGACTCATCTCCCCCTTTTCCAGCCCTGTGATCAACCCATTTCTCAAAGGGGTTCTGTTTCTTTATAGTGGAGGGTAATCTTCAGAAACCAAGATCTGGATGCTCAACTTATTCGTTGATGTTGGGCCATTACTGCTACCCAACTCTCAGTGCTTGCAGCTTGGAACACGCACGGTCAGGTGTAGACCTGAATGCATACCAACATATATACCCACACATAGTTCTCTGTACCTCTGTCTACACACATATGTGGGTAGCCACAGGTTCACATGGATACTGCCAGCTCTAGAAGGGGTTAAGTCATACACCCCCTTCTCCATTTCTACCTCTCTGTCTTCTGACAGTAAGAAACTTGACTCCCTTTGTCTTGTTGCTCCAGCCCCTGTGTGTGGCCAGAGCCCTTCTACCTAGACTCATTCCATTCTTGCATAGGCCCTGAACCCTGCCAAGCTGCCTTCTCTTGGGTTCTCTTCAACCTCTGGAACACACCAGCTACAATTCTGACACATTTTCCAGGCTAAATCTCAAGAGTTGGGGTCACTTTGAGGTAGAGCAGAAATTATCCTCAAAGGAGCCAGCTTACTGTCAGACTTGATTCAGAAGGGGAAGGAGGTTGGCCCAGAATGAGCCACCTCTTCCCCAGTGAGCTCACGGAGGGAGGTGTGTGTCCTCAAGAAGGCTCCAGCCAACCTGCACACCCCTGTGCTCTGGCACGGGTGCCAGGCCTCTAGCCATAGGCAGTGCCTCTCTGCTGCACTGAGCTCGCTTCAGGGAAAGTGACTTTGGGGGTCATGGGCAGAAAAGCACATTTGTTTTAGTGGACATGGGGCCTGTTTCAGGGACTTCCTGGGTTTGGCTACCTGTGAACATACCTCCTTTCAGCCCTGAGTCCCTGGTTGCCACTAGAAGTGTGCGTGCTTGTCTGTTTATCTGTTCGCTGCAGCATTCACCCTGGATTTCCTGCACATGTGCAGGGTGGGCCAGGCACTGACCCAGTTCTAATGAGTAGCCAGCGGCAGTGATTATGTAGGCCTGCTGCCCTCATGGGTCAGCCTGGGCCAGCCCCATCGGTCACATGGCTGTTAGCATCGACTCTACACTGAGCAGAGCAGAGGCGAGCAATTTGTAGCCACAAGGTAAGCTGCAAAGCCAGCTCCAAGGGCTTTAAAAAATGCTTCTAAATTGCCAGTCACCTCCGAGTGCTCCTGGGCTTTGGAATGTATTCAGCATTTCTCTTTTAAAAGGGAACATCTGGCAGTGCCTCCTCCCCTGTGTCCTATAGTGTCTGTCTCCCGAGTGTGGTTTTTATGACCCTTCTCTTCCGGGAGAGATGCCAGCAGCCTCTTGGAGGCTTGTCAGCCCCGCTCCTCACTAACTAGCAATGAGAGCATTATAGTCCTGCTTTTGTTCACGGAGAACAGCTGGTGCACCCACCTATAAACAGCAGAAGGAAAGCCTTCCTGGTGCTTCTGAAGGTCTGATTATCTTTTTTTTTTTTTACTGCCCTTGAGTTTGGTCTGACAAAATGTTGCTGTTGTTTTAGCCATTAAAAGTATGGCTACTACAAATTAATTGGTTGGTTTTGGCTGCAGTTTTGCAGCCATAGCCATCACCATAATTTTAGAATGCTTCATCACCCCGAGGAGACCCCATCTCACTAGCAGCCACAGCCCCACCCCCGCCCCTTCCCTACTCCTACTCACGTGCTCGCTCCCCGTGGATTTGCTGCCCTGGACATTTCATAGCAGTGGCATCACGCTGTACGTAGCCTTCAGGAGCTTTCCATTGATTCAGGTCTTTACTGCCAACAACGGTTTATGGGTTTTGTTTGTTGAGTGTATTCCAAGTGCTCTTTTACTTTTGATGTTACTGTAAATGGAATTGTTTTCTTATGTGTTTTTAAGATTAACTTATTTATGCATACAGAACTGGGGTACAGGCCAGAGGGGTAAGGGCATGAGAGGATTCACCAGAGACAGAGAGAGCAGCAGAACAGGCAGATGGACAAAGTACGCTGCTGAGGGGAGCGGCAGGCGGGTCAGGAGAGGTCTGCCGCGCCATGTGGGTCATGTCCCTGGCCAAGAACGAACTTAAGCTGCAGAGGCCACAGCTAGCTTCGTAGTGCTGTGCTTTCATCTGTTGTGCCACCAGGAAGGGCCCTAGCATTGTTTTCTTCTTTTTTTGGATTGTACACTGCTAGTGGAAAACATAGTGGCTATTTGTACCTTGATTGTGTTCTCTATAACTTGGCAAGAGACTTTTCTGACAGTTGCACCTTAGCACTAAAGAGAAATTGCTCTCCCTGTGCTCCTTGGGAAAGAGTCACAAGGCTTACATTAGATACACCCCCTTGTGAGATGGGCAAATGCAGCAAGACACACAAATCAAGAGTTCTGTGTGGACACGTGTTCCCTGAAGCCCCTGTATCCATCAGCCCAGGCTGAAGTCCTAAGGCACCCAGCCTCTTCTCTGTGGCCAGGACTGATGACCCCACTTCTTCCCCAGGGCCTTCCAGTCTTCTCACTAAGTGGAAAAGCCCAGCTCACAGGCACTTCTGGAAAAAAGCACAGACTACCTGAAGGCCATATTTGACCATTCATCACAGAAAACATGTTATAAACAGTACAGGGACTTTTTCTGATAACAGACTCACCCTCTGAGAAGACAGCCTTCTGGGAAAGGGACACGGGTCCCGGGGCCTCTACTTTGTGGCTCCCGGATGTTCTCCAGGGCCTGCAGGAGCAGCACTATCTGAGCAAGCTCTGCTGCAGGAGGTGGTTGTGGCCGATGCTCCTCGTACTTGCTCCCCAGGGAGTCAGCCCTCCTGCAGCTCCCACCTCCTCCCCCAGGCTGGAGGGGTCCTGTCTGCGTCTCTCTTTCATTTAGAAACATTGCCACAGTCCTCTCCTGCCCCTTCTCCCTCTTGGCCTTACCACCCCACCCCAGGCAGGCCTATGTTTTATCCTTTGTCTTATGCTTGTAGAGGAAAAGAGCAGCGGGTTCCGGTTGAAGCCGCCAACACTGATCCATGGCCAGGCACCCAGCGCAGGTAGGTGCCCGCCTCTGGCCAAAAAAAAAAAAAAAAAAGAGCTGGCTTCTCATACCTTGCCAGGCCTCTCCACAGTGTGTGTGCAGCACCTGCCTCTGGGGCACCTCACGTTACCCAGCAGCCTTCAAGCACTGGAAAGCAGATTTAAAGAGCCTGGCAGACCAAGGAAGTCAGGCTCCCAGCCTTGAGCCCTCCCTGAGGAGGAGGACTCAATGAGGAACATTTGGGCTGTGTGCCAGTGAGAGCTTCTTTGACTCCAACTATCCAGAGCACCCTGATCCCAGCAAGCCACATAGCATTAGTCCTATTAGCAGAGTGGAAAAGCCCAGCTCACAGGATCCAGTGGCTGCTAGTGAGGGGATGCGCCTGGCAGTGGCTGCACCATACCCCGCCTGTAGTCCAGCAGGAAAGCCCTGAGAAAGGCCGGAGGCCTCTCATGGCCCTGGCCCTTTTTGTGCTTGGCAAAGGAATTTTCTCAGTGTGGCCTTTGGGAAAGTAGGTGCAGAGGGGCCTCTCACTTTCTCTTCCTGCACTGTGTGCACCTGACCCCTGAGCCCTGCACTGGAGAACAGCTGTCATTTGATCCCCTGGTACTATCACTGTACTCACTGGACATGATTAGTGACATGGGAATTTCATATTGTCTGATGTAAAAATAACAACAGCCAGATTCCTTACATCTAGCAGTAAAGAAAATCTTGGGGTTTTTAAAAAAAATGGCTTCCTGCAACTCTAGTGTGGGAGGGACAGTAAGCAAGTTGCTGGTGTTAATTTTTCTGTGAAACACTTGAGAGCGGGAGATGATGTGCTTATGCCCATCGGATCCAAGGGCCCTGGGCAAGCTGACCTCCCTCCCCAGGTCTGCCGAGCCAGAAGCCTAAGGAACAGCAGCGGAGCGTGCTTCGCCCGGCAGTGTTACAAGCTCCTCAGCCAAAGGCACTCTCCCAGACTGGTAAGAAACAGCAGCTCTTGGCGCCGGGCTCAGGCAGCAGGGTAGAGCGGTTCTGAAGTCACACCTGGGACAGCCGTGTCTCCACACAGGTGACTCTGAATGCATTCAGAAATAAAGAGCGCTGGGACAAGTCCTTAAAACCCATGGGGAGCATGTGAAGTGACCCCACTGCCTCCTGTGGCACTGGGCCACATGTGACTGCTGGTGAAAGGCGCTCTGTACACACGCTGCCCTCCTGGAAGCTGGCTGTTTCCCCGGGTTTCAGATCTGTCCCTACATGTCTGCAGGCAAACTCAACCTTCTTCAAGTCTTAAGAGACGTGAAGGATAATTTTGATGAGACCTGCATTTAAATCTCATTTGCTGAATTTAAGGCATACCTCTTAAACAGTGTGTCCTTTATGTTCAGATAGTAGTTAATCCTTAATTTCAGTTAATCCTTCATTTTCTAATACTAAAGAATTTTACTTGTCTTCTCATGATCTTTCCCTGAATTTCCTCTTTTTATTAGAGGTACATAACATTCCATGTGAAGGAACTAGTTAATGTTTCTGAAGCGTTTTTAATTACATGGGAAATTTCTTCATTCTAATGCCAGACAATCAAAGGCAGATTTAAAGTTGTGTGTCACATAATTTTAGCTATTTAAAGGGGAAAAATGCATGAAATAAAGACAGCAAAATTTGTTTTTATAAGACTCGAAATTTTCCCCCAGTATACTTCCCCTCCCCCAAATTAGCTTTTAATTACATGGAAAGTTTTTTGGTTGTAATGTGAGACAGTCAAAGCTGGATTTAAAGTTGTCCATGCCATGTAATCTTGAATAACTAAAGGGAAAAAATGCATAGAGTACAAACATTACTAAAAGTTGTTTTATAAAACATCTTTTTGCCCCAGCGTTTTAATGACCAGAGCAGTATTTCTCCCTTAATTAGCGGAGCAGTATTGCTTCCAGTACATTGAAAAGTCTTACTTCTTTTTGGAGTGAGCAGTAATAAGAGAAACTTGCTTCTGTGAGGTTTTAGCTTTTGGTTTTTAAACTAGGAATTTTATGACTTCCGAGAGTGGCTTCAGAGCCCTTTCCTTCAAAAGGGGAACTGCATCCTCAGCTCAGCACCTCCCAGCAGAAGCGGGTCCTTGCTGAACTCAAGTGACTCCTTTTCCTCTCCACAGTCCCAAGCAGCGGCACCAACGGGATCACTGTCCCAGCGGACTGCACAGGGACCACAGCGTCGACATCGCCCGACAACTCCGCTCGGACAAGCCCCTCTGCCGAGGCCCAGGCCCTGGAGGTCCGTCTGCGCTGAGGCTGGTGCCATGAGGGGAACTCCTTCGGGCTCTGCTGAACCCCTAGAGTGCCTGTTGCCCACTTGCTCTGACCTGGGTCACCATTGGGCTGCATTAGGGTTTTTGAATGTGTCAGAGGTTCAGTCCGTAACCACAATCCATATGCCAAGTCCGTGCAACACTAAGGTGCCCCTCTTGGTTGTTCCAAGAGCACTGCTCTGTCCAAAAGTCTTCACTACCCCTCCAAACTCACACCTCTCCCATGTGTCCCAGATGAGTGTGCCTGCCATTGATTGACTCCCTAACCATTGAACTCTGGCGAGTCGTAGGCAGAACGGCATTCATTGGTGAAGGTGTTGCACTGTTTTACACGGAGAATGTGTCCCCTTCCTGTTTCCACACCCTAACAGCTCCTGGGACAGTCACATGTGTGAGAGGGTACTGGAGAGTCAGCTCAGAAAGTACGTTTCACAGAAAACCCCTAACCATGGTGCTTATCCAGGCTGAAAGCACGTGTTTCCCAGCAGTGCCTCATTGCAGCTGGGGTTCAAGACATTTCGTGAAGAACATGCTTTTGTAGCTGGCAGCAGCAAATTTGAAATCTGGTTGCAGTAAGGCACCAAGATTCCGAACACAAAGACCCTTCTTTGCTGCTTTCCTCTCTGCGCATTCCGCACACAGCAGACTCCCTGCCCTCCCCTCCCTCCACGTATCCCTAGATGTGCAGGCTCAGGTAGTGAAACAGCCACCTGCTTTCCACTTTAAGCATCCCCAGCTCCCACCCTGCACCCCCAGCTGTCACAATTGGAAACGGGAGTGATTGCCACACCTACTTGTTGGGACCTTTGAGGGCTTGGGTCTATGGGACCGTAAATTGCTATCCAACTTTGAGTTGGAGAGAGCCCGGGAAGCTGCCCGCAGGTCCCATCTTCCTCCAGGTCACGATCTTACGGGTCACACTTGGGCACTCCTGAGAGAAGTTTCACCCTGTCCAGCCCAGGGGCCTGAGCCACTTTTACCATTGGTTCTAGCCCTCAGCCCAGGGAGCCAGAGGAGATACCTGGAGCAGATGGAATGGTATAAGGTTGCTCATCTTGCTTATCAGGGCTAATGCACTTTTGTGTCACTTACTAATGGGTTTATGTCCTGTGAAATGCGTCGTCAGGGAATGCCGCCATGTGACCATCTTGGAATGTAATGGCACGAACTGACATGGTGCGGCCCTCCCACACCCAGGCTGCACCCCACCCCGCACCCTCGTCCATGTGTCCTTGGACCAAGCGTCATTAGGCGACATAGGACTGTACGCCACTTCTTTTCCGTTGTTGTTTTGGTTTTTTTTTAAATAGGAGAAGGAACCCCAGAAAAATGAATCTAGCAATACTTCTGAGGAGGAAAACTGTGAGAAAAAAGAGCAAGTCGCACAGCAAGCATTTGTGTTTGGGCAGAACTTGAGGGACAGAGTCAAGGTACATGATCAGAGGGCTGGGTGAGCCAGTGAACTAATGACTTTATTTTTATGACTTTATTTAATGAACAGGAAGTTCATTTTTCCTTATAAAGGTGGGGGGGCAGCCCATCGAGGGGTACTTCTGTGACTTGTGGCTTGTTTTTGTGCCTGCCACACCCCACTGCTCAGCACCCAGCACACACTCGCAGCTACCTGCTACCCCTCTACCCCAAGTGTACAACTCAGGAGTGGCTTCTGGCACAACACTCCCTTGGTGACAGTATGGTGGGGGACAGAGAGGCAGGCCACTGGGTGTGCGTATCGCTGAGAATCGACATTTTCATGGCAAAGGAGAAAGCAGGTAGTACAATAAGATGATTCCAAGGTCCCTGGGTAGTATCTCTACTTCAGAGTATGTATCTGAGCATAGAAGCATTGGACCAGGTCGGGTGGAGTTGTTGGGGTTTGCTCTGGGCACTAAGGGGGTATTTATTAGCTAACATCCCCGGCCTCTACCCCCAGTCACAACAACTGAACATTACGCAGCCAGTGCTGAATGTCCCCATAGGAACAAGTCACCTCTGATTGAGAAACCATTACCTTATTTTTTTTTTTTTTAAGTAGGACAAGAGGGAAGCTACTGTGTTCTCCCCCCAAAGGAGGCAGTCGTGTTTACCACCTGGCTGCCCTCCAGGCGGTAGGCCAGCATGTCGTCTGGTCTGGGGCCTTTGAGTCAGTGGCTGGCAGCACAGGAGATCTTGGCTCTGAGCCCTTTGCCCTGGCACTGACTGCCATGGGACAGGCCGTTTCCCATGGTGTCTCCTGCAATAATCTCCCTAGGAAGCCTGGGAGTGTTGTCAGTGGCCAAGTCCAGGCATCTGGGGTTGCCATGCAGAGCGTAGGTGCTGCTGGAGCCCGGAATGTGCTCAGCCCCACAGTACCAACGATGGCCATAAACAGGGTGAGCTGACCCCAAACCTCAGTGATGCCAAGGGGGAGGAACCCTAAAATAAGGAAACAAGTCCTCTGAGTGTAAATATCAGGTCACTTGTTCTGCTTCCTCCTCTGGTACTCACTGTCCAGAGAGGAACAAGCCTCCCAGGGGACAGAAGGTAGGTGTTGATGTTACACAGCTTTAAGCCAAAATAACGAGTCCCTTGGGGGCACTTCACTCCCAGGAGAAAGAAACAGAACAAGGGGAGGCCTGGAAATCCACTCCAGGGGGATGGTAGCTTGGCTGAGGCCAGCAGGCCGAGTCCATTCCCTGACTTTGGGGAATGACTGCCTGAAAGTGGGACGAGGACCATTGTCTTTGAAGTGGCGGTCACATCCCAGCTTCTCCGTGGAGGGTGACTTACAGTCATGGTCTCCCAACCCCAAGCCTCTGGGAGGTTGTGGTGCCCACCTGCCAGGGCGCACAGGCTGTTAAGCAGGTATGTTTCATGGACATGGCATGACAGTCGGCATAAGGCAGCATTGGGAAGTGCTGCTTTTATCATGCTTATAATAATCCCCTTCAGAGACCAGCTTCGTAAGCATTCTGTGTTCTGGGGCAGAAGCATCAATGAAAATTCCAACCAGAGGCCAGCTGAGTGCCATCTTTTTTTTTTAACAAAGTAGAAAAAGCTGCCTAGTAGTTTGCGAAGCAGTTCTTGTATCTTAACCACTAAAATCGAAAAGGAAATTGGTTAGTCCCTTCTCCCACTGTTCACACACACTCAGACACACACGCGCACAGAGTAGACAGTAGCATTCGCATTTGGGCACTTTGCCATGTGGAGTAGGGGCTGTGCAGACAGACTGAGCTGAGGGTCGCCAGAGCAGACAGTTCTCTGAGTAGTAAGTGTTTCCTCTCTCTCCCAGTTGATAAACGAGAACACTGAAGTAGCTGACATGGAGAATGCTGGACACCCCAGTTTAGAAGCACCAACCGCAACCAACTACTTCCTTCAGTACATCAGCTCCAGGTGTGTCTGGCCGGGCTCCCAGCTGGTATGCGGAGCACCTCTGCACAGAGGGCCCGCGGTCACCGTCATCCCTGCCTCGGGCCCCAGAGAAGGCAGCCGCCTGCATCGGGAGCAGCCCATTTCCCCCTCAGAGGCAAAGTAGAGGGGATGGGGGAAAAGGTTCTGGGGTGGTGGGCTTCAACGCACCCCTGAAGCAAGACCCAAGTTCTACAGGTTGTTGGGCCCAGATCCGGACCTCTGAGCAACCTGCGTCACCTGGACCTCATGCCAAGGACAGACCCAGTGGGCTTTTTAAAAGACGTTTTGCACCTCAGTATTTACCAGGTCAGGTGGCACTTCCACCCTTGACCTTTAAATGAGCAGAAGTTTGATGACAGTTATTTCTGTTGAGCATTCCCTAGGGGCAGCCAGAGTCCCCCGGCAGCAGCCCCAGGAGTGGGAGGTGTGCCTCCTTCATGAGGGCCAGGAGAGGGGCTGGGAGCTGTGGTGCCTCGGCTAGAGGTAGCCTGCCACCAGGGAGCAGCTGGGTGGATTCCCAGAAGAGGGTTGCTCGGCTCTGACTCCTGCCCTCGGCTTGTCCACGATAATGTTCTCACCTCTGTACCTAGTGTAGTGCCCACCTCCTGGGCTTGGGGAGAGTGGTTCTCAGGGGTGTCCCCTGAAACTTGGTGCCTCAAAGTGGGCACCCTGTTACGGTGACGCAGGCTGGCTTGGAGGCATGAAGAGTCCCCTCTCCCAGACTTTGCTTTCTGCACCAGAAGTTTGATTCTTCCCCACCCAACCGTGTGCACACACGTGTTCCCATTCAACTCTCACGGTGCATCTTCTCTTCAGTTTAGAGAACTCGACCAATAGTGCTGATACCTCCAGCAACAAATTTGTATTTGGCCAGAATATGAGCGAACGTGTGCTGGTGAGTGGCCCCCTAGGGACTCTTCTTCCTGGGACCCAGAAAACCATTAGAATCTCCCCCAGCTCGAAGAGACAAGTGGACTGTCCCTGTGACATTAGGATGCTCTCCATCACAGGTCAGGGACACAGCCCCGCTTGGACTCTACTCAAAACTGGGGGCAGGGTAATCGGTGTCAGCTCCTGAAGGAGCCTCTCTAGGAACTAGCGTCTGTGTGGCCTGCCTTTCCTTGTCCTGAAGGCTTCTCCCAGCTCAGACCCCTGAGCCCCAGCTCTCAGACCAAAGTCTGGTACAGTGGAAGTCAAAGAACTGCTTTGTACAGATAGACAAGCCCCAGGGCCCGGAATAACTTGGCAGCTGGCACCTCTGACCAACTGCTGGTGCCTCCAGGGTTCTGGGCTCTGAGCGCAGTTCCTGTGTTCAAGTAGTCCTGTGCACCCGTGCGCTGTCTGGGGCCAGTCCCTTTCTGTTAGGAGTTACTGGCATGAGTTGCTTAGGGAGCAGTATGTGGAGATAAGAGGTTTGACTGGGACACTCCATTGAGGGGAAGGGCATCCCATCTCATCCACTGGGTCTACGTGGGTCCCCCAAAGCTTTGAAGAGACTCCTCTGTCCAGGCAGGGACGTGCTGAGAGTTGCTGTCCCTGCAGAGGGCCTCCTTTCTGCCGCAGTCAGTCCCACGATACCAGCACGCTCTCCTCCCGGCATGCCTTTCTTTCGTGCAGAGCCCACCAAAATTAAATGAGGTCAGCTCGGAAGCCAACAGGGAAAATGCAGCTGCTGAGTCTGGGTCCGAATCCTCATCCCAAGAGGCCACCCCTGAGAAAGGTATGGAGAGGCCTGCGCCCACTCAGTGGTGGAGAGTGCAGGGGGTGGGGGGAACAGGGATGCTCTTCACCCATGATCTCTGGGAGCACCGGTGGGAGGGACAGGGCAGCTGATTTGCCTCGGGAGTAAAAGCCACATGACCCAGCTGCTGTGCTGGAGCAGGACAGACTGTGGGCACTGATTTTTCTGTGAGCTAAAATGAGTGTTGTTCATTTTCAATGTTGAGACCATGGTGCTGCAAGGTGACTCTGGGAAAGGGCTGTGGAGCAGCCTCCTTCCTTCGTGCTCCGCCACAGCTCCGGGGTCCTCTTCAGTGTCCCCTCACAAGTCTCACCTTTCTCTCCTGTGTTGACGGGACGAGGAGACGCAGAGCCACTCTGGGCAGCTCTCAGATGGGTCCCTGCAGAGCCGAGGCGCTGTCCTGGGCTTGTTTTCTGCTGCCCACTCCAGGTCCTGGGTGTGGCACCTTTGAGGCCTGAACCAACCTCTTTTGGTTCTGAGGTGTTCATTCTGCTCACCTCTCTCCTCCCCTACCCCCTCCTCCAAATAAATAGTCATTGTTGTTCAGCTAATAACATTTCAGAGTCCCTGGTCGAGTCGGCAGCCGCCTACACCAAGGCAACAGCACGGAAGTGTTTGTTGGAAAAAGTGGAGGTCATCACCGGGGAGGAGGCAGAGAGCAACGTTTTACAGGTGAGGCAGCGGCGCTGGGCCTGTGGGTCCTCTGAGGGGCAGCAGTGGGGTGTGTCTAGGATGCAACCCCCAGGGCTTGGCCACAGCCTCCAGGGACTGGGAACTCTCAGTCTTCTCGGAGGTAACCAAGGTGTCAGCGCCCCTGCCCTGGTGACTTTGTTGAGACGAAGGAACTTTTGGTTTTGTTCTATATTAGAGCAGAGGATCTGTGTTGAGATCTTGGTGGCTCAAGGAACGGCAGAGAGGAGTATACCAAAGACCTCTGCGACCCAGAATTAACAGCGATAGCCCATCAGGGAAAAGTCGCAGATGCAGCCAGGACTTTGTGCCACTTGTTCTTGTCTTCACCCTCCTCCTCCGGGGCAGCATGTCCAGTTTGTGGGCTCATTCGTCTGTTCACTCATCCGTGTTCTCACATACACGTGTGGGTGTATCTGCCAGCCGCGCGCAAGGTTAATGTGGGGTTTGAGTAGGATCCCCCCCCCCGGCGTGTTTTGGTGAGACATCCCTGTCCAGGTCCAGGTGCGGTGACTTAGATCCGCAGGCGGCCTGCGTAGCAGTCCCTGTCGCGTATTCCGTGTGTGTGTAGAACATCTTTCTTGAGATATGCACATACCGTAAAATTAACCCTTTCAAAGAATAAAGTTCTGTGATTTTTAGTATATTCACAACTTGTATCTAATTGAGAACATTTTTCTCCCCAAAAAAGCAAATTCCTGCCCATTAGCTGTCAGTCACTCCCCCAGCCACTGTCGCCGCAAACCCACTCTCTGCCTCTGTTTGTGTTCTGGACATTGCACCTCAGTGGAATCACACACTGGACTTTGTGTCTGGCTTCTCTCCTGACCCTATTTGAGGTGAATTCATGTTAGAGAGTTTCAGAGTGTCCCTCTTCATGGTCTGGAAGGACTGCTCTGTATTTATCCGCTCACTGTTAATGGGTACTTGGGCTGTTTCCCTTTCTAGCAGTTATGAGTAAGGCCGGTGAGCGTGTTTGTCGACAAGCCCGTGTGAATGGATATGTGTTTCGTTTCTCTTGGTAGAAACCTGGGAGTGGAATTCCTGAGCCTCGTGGCTGCCCCACGGTTACCGGTTAGGGAGCTGTTATCCACGAGGGCTGCACCATTCTCAGGTCCCCCCAGGGGGGTGTGAAAATTCCACTTTCTCCACATAGCTGTTCTCTGTCTTGGTAATAGCCATTGTTGTAGATGTGAAGTGATGGTATCTCATTGTGAGTTTTGATTTTCATTTCCCTAATGATTCCTTTTTGTTTAAAAATGCGAACTCCCTTCTAACTGGAAGCTGAGTGAAAAGGTACAGCCTGGGCCCTCTCCCCCTCCATCACCAGCCATAGTTTGCCAATGCAATGGTTCCCGCGAATTAGACGGGAGATTCCCTCTTCCCCGGTCTTGCTCACCCAGAGGCTGCCTGTGTTCCAGATCCAGTGCAAGCTGTTTGTCTTTGACAAGACCTCGCAGTCCTGGGTGGAGAGAGGCCGGGGGCTGCTCAGACTCAACGACATGGCCTCAGCTGATGACGGGACGTTACAGTCCCGACTAGGTGAGCGCAGTGGAGGCTGGTGAGACCTCCCGGGGGCTTCTGGGAGAGGGCCTGGGGTGGTGTGGTTCCCCAGACTACAGGGCGCAGGCCAGGAGCAGGGAAGCAGAGCCCCACGGGAGAGCGCTTGGATCCAGTGGGCCCGGCCTGGCCCAGAGGCTCCGGCTTCCAGCCTTTCCATGAACTCTCCTCCTCCTGAGTGTCAACAACGTATAAAAAAGTATTTAGCAGTTTTTAAACTTATAATAAAAGTGACAGTTGTCTATGGTAGAACGGAAAAAATCCCAAAAAAGCAAACATCAGGAGAGAAATGTCACTGATAACGTTTTTGGTGTTCCTTTCTTTTTTTTTAGGAAATGGGGGAATAGTTTGTCTCCTGCTGTTTTGCTGATTTGTGAACATATTCCATATTGGAAAAACTACACGTTAGTGTTCCACTGACAGTGGACTTGTGTAACCATGACATTGGGCATTAGGGGGTTCCTCCTTTTTCACTTGACTGTTGCAACTGATACCCCTGGGGCCATCTACAGGTGACGAACTCCCAGAAGTCTGCTGGTTTAAAAAATGGATGTGGGTGTGTGAGAGAAAGAAATGTGTTTGTCTTTTTTCTGCTCTTCCCAAATGAAAGCTGTTTTCCAGCCTTTACAGAAAAACCCATTCCTGGCCCAGTACTATCTGAGCAGTGTCTTCACACCCCTAGACGCAGAATCTTCCCAAGGGTTAGAGAAGAGGTGAAAACAGCCCTCCTGTCGAGGCCCCGGATTTTCCACTCCCATAATGATGTCCCTCAGTTTATTTTTACTAATGGAAACTTCCAACGTGCAGAGCGTGCACAGCGTTGCTCCTCCTGTGTCGACCTATGGCCAGCCTCGCTACAGCTGCAGCCGCTGCCTCTGAAGTCAACTCTGGCCAGGCCTCTCTCTCAGCCTGCACAGGCTTGATCCTTCCCTCAGACCTCTCTGAGCCGGTGGAAACTGCTCTACCCGCCTCAGAGGACACATTGGGCCTAGAAGGCCAGGCTTGTAGGACTTAAGATAAAGGGGCTACATGGAGATCCGGGGGGCCAGACCCAGCAGACTTTCCTGAACTAGCCCAAGCTTCTCCCCTCCTGTGTGGTCATTTGTAGCCCTGGGTTGGATTGAGAGCTTCTGGCTCTTTCCAGGCCTATTCTTGGGGAGAGCTGGCCTGGCATAGGTGGGGAGTGGAGGGGAGCATTGATTGTGGGTAGCCTCTCAAGTCTAGCAGGCTTACAGGGGCCTCAAGTAAACTGGGTGTCCCACATACCTGCAGAGAGGAAACTTCTCTCCCACGTTTTCTGCCACATGCTGCCTTCTGCCTGTCTCTGTTCCCTCCTGACACAGCTCAGCAGCACTGGCCTGGCTGTCCTAGGACAACAAGCTAGGGCTTAGGGCTTGCCCTCTGGGTGGGGACATCAAGGGGTGTCAGCTTCTGTGTGGCTTATCCTGAGCATGCAGCCTACAGATATCCAGCTGCCCCTGCTGTCCACCCCATGCTCTGCCTAACTGACCTTCCCCGGGGGAGCCACTCTGGCACTCTCCGCGGTATGTGGCCTCCAACCCCACCCCCAGACCTGAAGAGGGATGAGACTGGCCTCAGGAGAGAGGGGCCGTTCAGTGGCAGGTTTCCCATGGGGTCTGCCCCGTGGTATTTTTGTTCTCCTTCAAGATGATGTTTGTTCTGGCGGCTAACAGTGGGGGCAGGCGGAGCAGGGGCTAAGTGGCCGTGTTGTTGCAGTGATGAGAACCCAGGGTAGCTTACGGCTGATCCTCAACACCAAGCTCTGGGCCCAGATGCAGATCGACAAGGCCAGTGAGAAGAGCATCCGCATCACAGCCATGGACACCGAGGACCAGGGTGTGAAGGTCTTCCTCATCTCGGTGAGCATCCCCTGAAGGGACAGGCTGGTGCTGGCCTTTGCTGGCAGGCTGCCCGGAAAGCCCCTGACACAGGGCGTGCCTGCCCCCACCCTAGCTGCTCAGGCCAGGCCTGGCTCCGCTTGCAGCCAGGAAGTGGGCAGAGAGACCTCCTGGAGGCAGCCCCAAGCCAGCAGGTTCGGTCAGGGGAACAAGGACAGGAGCAGCACTCAGTAGGCCAGGCCTTTGGGCAGTGGACTTTGAGCCGCTGTCCTGAGTTTGGCTCAGAGAGGCGGTTAGGTGTCTCCCCAGGAGACCGCCTAACTGGCACTTATTCTCGGCCTCCTGCAGGCCAGCTCCAAGGACACGGGCCAGCTGTACGCAGCCCTGCACCACCGCATCCTGGCGCTGCGCAGCCGTGTGGAGCAGGAGCAGGAGGCCAAGACACCGGCCCCCGAGCCGGGGACAGCTCCTTCCAATGAGGAGGACGACAGTGACGATGACGACGTCCTGGCTCCATCGGGAGCCACTGGAGGCGGTGAGCTGGGCTCTCTTCTGCCCGGGGGACTGCTCTCCTAGGCCCCTCCCGCCTGCTGACCCAGGGAAGTGGGGCTCCATCCAGGATGGGGCCCTTGACAAGTAGGTCCTTGCTTCCTACAGGCACCGGAGACGAAGGGGATGGGCAGACAGCCGGGAGCACATAGCGCCGGGAGCCGCTGCCCGCGAGCCTGCTGCTCTGTCCGTCTGTCCGCCCGCCCGCCCGCCCGCCTCGCCCCTCCGCAGCACCGAGGTGCGGAGCTCGGGAACCACACTCCCCGTTGGGTTGGCCACAGTTCGGATCCGCACGGCCCGTTCAGAAGCAGACTCGGGAACTGCCTGAATGTGGTTTGGGACACGAGACCTCATCATATTGATGAGCAAAACAAGAACATTTCCCCCTCCCCTCCTTTGAATTGAAATGGCACATTAAGACTTGTCACGGCTTCTCACTGGGACACTGTTTCTTCCTCCCTCGTGTCGCCGGCCTCCCCCACCCGCGCCCTGCCTGTGGTTCCTGCTGCCTGCCCAGGCCGCGGTCAGTCTGCAGGTGTCGCACGGGGCTGCTGGGTGTCTGTTTACTGCTGTCTTTACCTCCTGCTCGCACTCTGATTTGGGGCTTGTTTTTAGATCTCCCCCTAAGGCTTCATGTTTGGCTCCTTAGATTAAGACACCGTCACGCAGCAAGCATCTGCGGCTCCGTCACAGGCCTTGCCTCCATCTCGTGCCGTCCTGGCCTCTCTCAAGGCCTTTCTGGGGGCTGGGTGCTAGGTGAGCTGCTCACGAGGAGGAGGTGGGCAGACCCCCACGTGTCACCCATCTCAGGGGCCCCATCTGAAAGGGTCCAGTGAACCTGTGAGGAAGAGTCTCACCCATTCTCCTGTCCCTGTCACCTGACCCACTTGTCATCAGCACCCGGCCAGGCTTTCTTCCTGCTGTCAGCCATCCTGCGCCACCGTTGATGTCATTGCCCCAACTCCATCTGGGGCGGGGAATTCGTCTGGCGGGGAGAACCCTAGCCTGGCCTTCGAGAGGAAGGGGAGGTTGGTCCAGACGACAGACTGTCCATGCGCTCACAGCCCACACAGTGAATGCTGTGCCCACCCTGCCCTCGGCCAAGGCTGAGACGACTGGACACTGCCCGCCTGGGGAGACCCAGGGGAAGGGCCCTGTGCACAGGGCTGATGGGGCTTCAGGAGGCCGCCAGGCCACACCCCCGAGCGGGGAGAAGCCGGGCCTCTGCAGCTGTGCGGCCCACACCGCAGGTTGGGGCGTGCCTCCTGAGCGTGGGAAGACACCAAAGGCCCTCCCGCGAGATCCGGCCACACTTCTCTGCTTTAAGCCTTAGCCAACTAGTGACAAGTAAAACCAGATAATGCCCATGTGTTTTGGAACATTTATGTAAGATTGTCATATGAAATGTATTTGGGAACTACATTAAAACTTTTAACTAAAACACTGGCCTCCTGCATGCCCAGGGGCCTCAGGAAGCTGCACAGCCAGGCCAGGAACCACCTCCGCCTCCCGGGGCGAGGGCCCCAGCAGCCTGGCCTCCCTGTGGGCCCAGCCCTCACCCACAGGCCACGCCCGGGCAGTGACCAGACTCGCCTGCCCTCGAGAATGGCTGCCTGTGTGGGGCCCCACTTCACAGAACAGCCATTCACCGCCCTGCCCAGGCCACCTAGTTCCCAGAGACCTCGGGGAGGGCAGGGGTGAGCGTGCTGGCAGGGCCAAGTGTCCAGCGGCCGCTCAGAGGGGGGTGGGGGCACATGCAGCAGAGGGCTCGGGCTGGCGAGGGCCCTGCCCTCCGGGGTTCCGGGCCAGTGAGCACTGTGGGACCTCTGTCAGCAGGAGGCCAAGCACCGTCCTCCAGGTCAGGTTCAGTCAGTTCTGCGGCCTCGGTATTGTCCAGCTCACAGCCCGGGTGAGGGGGTCCCAGCTCAGGGGTGCTGGGCTTGGGGGGTCCTGTGACTGCAGTGGAGACAGTGATGCTCACAGCCGCCAGGCACTGGACATCATGGCCACAAACTCCTCGTCAGTGTCCATGGAGGCACTCACACCGCTGTAGTAGTCCTGGAATTCGGCCAGCGTGACCTGGGGACAGAAGGGCTGTAAGTGGGGATCAGAGGCTGGGGCAGGAGGTGGGGGCTGCTGTGTGATCACCCACCTGCCCATCCTTCTCTGAAGAGTCAAAGTTGTCCAGAAATTGGCGAAGCACTTCCTCTTCTGTCCACTCCCCACTCTGCACCTTGGGATGGGCACGGCCACTGTACACACCCCGGAGGTCCTCCACGGTCACCACCCCGTCCCCGCTGCGGTCCAGCTTGGCAAAGGCAGCTGCGATGACTGCCTCACGGGCCTGTGACATGGGGGGCTGGGCAGGGGAGAAGTGGTCACTGGGGGCGCCCACCCTAGATGGTGGGGTCTGACCACCAGAAGAGAGCAGCTCCGGGCCAGACACCCTGATCTCACCCGGAGCGCCCGCAGAAATTCTTCCAGGTCCAGTGTCCCGCTGCCATCTCGGTCCCAGCGTCTGCAGATGCCCTCTGCCTCAGCTGGGTCCAGCGTCAGCCCCAGCTCGGCCAGGCCCCGTTGGAACTCCCCCACATCCAGGGATCGGCTCCTGTCCTGATCCAGGCGGCGGAAAAACCTGAGGGGCAGGGCGTGAGGTCGGGAAATAACCAGTGGGCATGTCAGGGCAGTGCATGGGGACAGCTCACCTGGCCAGGCCTTGAATGCCCGAGACCCCTCGAGACAGGCACCGTGCCCGAAGCTTCTCCATGGCGGCGTCCACGGCATCCATGCTGAGTCAGGACTCTGGGCGGTCAGTTGGGGAAGCTACTGCCCAGCCGGCCGGCTGTGAACCGAGCACAGAAAGTCCACCGCCACCGATTCCTGTTGCCTGCGCAGCCTCCAGTCCTGGAGTCCTCCAAATGGCGACTGGCTCCTGCTGGACTTGCCCTGCAGTAGCAGTGCTGGCAGTGCGTCCTGCCTGGCGGTACTGTTGCTAAGGGACAGCGGCCCCAGAGACTGGGAGGGGCCCCAGCTGTAACCCTCACCATGCCAGGGGCAGCGAGGGACAGGGCAGTGCTGTGCTGGCACCACTGCCCACTCTGTCCTACCTATGCCCTCTGCCAACCCCCCAGTGCCAGGAGGGAGAACCTTCCCGGTCACAAGGAGGAACAGACCACATCTCCGCAGTGACCACAACATTGGGGTAGGCGGCCCCCTAGCCGGGGAGGCTTCCTGCTGGCTCCTGTGGCACCTGAAGTAGGCCCCCCTTTTCACTGAACAGCTGCTGAAGGGTCCAGGTTCCAAAGGCTGGGGGTGAGTCAGGCCGGCCAGCGTGGGCCTGAGCCACCAGTGTGGGCTGAGCCCAAGCACAACAGCGCCTACAGATGGGCTCAAGGTCAACTTCAAGAGTGCCCAGTTGTTATTTAGAAGCTGGACACAGTTGTCTGTGATTCTCTTGGTGACCGGCTTTCAGTTGCACCCAGAGGAACCAAGGCCACCGTTACCGAACTTGGACTCAACCCGGACTTGGCCACCGTCGCCAGCCGACAGATGGGATGGAGATGGGATGGAGTGGAACGTGCCAGGATGAAAACATGGGCACCCAGCACCCGCACGGACTCCAATGGTGGGAAGTATGTCACAGTGTGGGCTTGGGTTGCCAGAGGTTGCTGTTACTCAGGAGTCAGCCCACAGGTTATAAGCCACCCAGGGCTGTGATTCTAGACGAAGCTGATGCAACACCGTCAGCTTTATGAGAAACCAGTGAAAGCCGCTCACAACTGGCTAGCCCAGAGTGCTCCCAGCAGGCAGAGGGCTACCTAACTGTGGCTTCTCATGCTAGAAAAAAATAGATTTTTTATAGGAAAACGTAAGTGTAACCACAATGTTTTAAGTTTGTTTCAGCATTTCCTCCTTAAACATAGCAGAATGTTATGTTTAATGTTTCACAAAAAAAAATCTGAGGCCTGGACTGTCTTGCTTTCCACAGCTGCAAAATGGGGCAAGTCCTGCATCTGCAGCCACCGGCAGAGGTGAGACACAAGAGTATGTCGTGTGCGACTGTGGCTTCCCCTCCCCACCCAGCAGGGCCCAGCCTGGGCTGCGAACACTGGCCACTTCAGCTCCCACACCAGGAAGAATGGAGAAAGGACTAAGAATCATCTGGTTTATTCTTGAGCACAGAGCACAGACAGGCCCCAACCTGCCTTCCCCTTATACAAACAAGCCCCCCTTATTCTTCCAGAGAAGAAAATGGGCCATTGTTACTACACTGAGGGGTCACTGTTAGATGGAGGGCGGGCAGGCAGCACCGTCCCGAGGGCTGGGGCTGGACGCCGACCTTTCTGGCTGGAATGGGCCCTTCCCCCTCTCCGTGGTTCCTCGTGTGACAATTCCCTGAGTACGGAGGCCGGGCAACAGTTGCCATGGCACCAGGCTGGGCAGAATGGGGCACAAGGATCCATGGTTTGATAAAAAGCAAAGTGCCCTGAATGTCAAGCTTGGGCTAAGAAGGGCAACTGGAAGAAAGGAAGTTTTAAAAATAGATTCTCTGGAGAATATAAAAAAGGAGCTTGTTGCTACAAAAGCCGGACTGGCCTAGGGGGCCTCCTCAGGTGCCCTGGGACTCCTGGCTCCCTGAGGGCCAAGCCATCCAAGTCTTTCCGTACCAGGGTCCGTTCCCCAGGTGAACCAGGTGCTGGTGACAGAAAACAAGACAGACAAAAACCTGTCCTAATGGAACTGACACTTTCATGGTAAGAAGTTCCAGAAAAAAATAGAAAATGGAGTCGTGGTGGAAGGTGGGCAGAGGAATTCCTTCAAGTAAGGTGGTTACTTCACCTAAGGCAGTGACATTTGAGCAGGAACCTGAGTGACAAGGAACCGGTCATGTGACACCCAGAGGTAAAGCCAGCATGCAGGCCCGAAGCCAGGCCATGGTCATGGAAAGGCTGAGGGGCGCCCTGCTGCTGCCATCTCCGCACACCCCACATACTCTTCCTTCTGGGCTAAATTTGGGGTGGGGGAAATCTGATTGCAAACGTATCATTCATATGAATGACGGAGAAAAACAATCCTTGAGACTCCAAATTCTGATCGGGGGTGAAAAGTAAAAAAAGCTTTAGCCTTGGAATGGGGTTGATTTAGGAGAAACAAGAATCAAGGTAAGAGGGCACATTTATGCTACCTGCCTTCCCCAGACAGAGGTCTTAAACCAGATGCACTGGGCCATATGACCTAAAGGGCGAGGGGGACCCGAAGAGGGTCTCCCGGGCTCAGATCCAGACAAGCATCAACAAATCTGAAGCAAGAAACCCAGAAATGTGTAAGTGCTGACAATTTTTCAACCAAAGTGATTGGTTCAAAGATCTATCTAGCTTGACATCTGTACCCGCCTGCTGGGCTACCCATTTGAAACCTATGTCTTTAGTGGGTTCTAATGCTTGGACAGGATTATGGTTCTGCCCAGGGGTCTCCTTTAGGACACTGTCGGCCCCCAAGAACACCCACAACAGTGGGAAAAATTCCCATTGGGGCCTTCTGTCTCAATTCTAGAATCTGCACACCTGGGCTCACACAGTGGTCCCAAACACTGCAGGCTGGAGATGATGCCTGTCTCCCTCCTCCCCAGTGTTGTTGACAAGGGGTGGGCTGGGCTGGTCAGGGAGTGGGTCGCTGGTTGGCAGAGGCCCCAGGCGCTCAGCCTCGGCCAGGGCGGCCAGCAGCCCAGCCAGGGGTGACCGGCGGCGACAGATGTCCTGCAGCAGCTTGGCCCGGGGCTGCAGCTGCCCGATGAGCTCGTCCCTCTGATGCACAGCAGCCTGCAGGCTATGGACAGTGGCCTCCGTGGTCAGCAGCTGCTCCTGGAGTGCGGCAATCTCACTGGCAGAAAGGCAATATACAGCAGTCATGGTACTGAGACCAGAGGTTCACCTACCAAGGATAAAGACCATGCACCTGGACACAGCTTCAAACCACTACTTCCTCCCCTCCCCCCCCCCTTTTTTTAAGATTTATTTATGCATACAGAACTGGGGTGCAGAGGCAGTGAGAGGAATCACTAGAGACAGAGCAGGGAGCAGGACAGACTTGATGAAGTATACTGCTGAGGGGAGCAGTGGGGAGCCAGGAGAAGTCTGCTGCACCATGTGGGTCACCTCCCTGGCCGGGGGTCTAGCTGGTGCTGAAGGGGCTGCGGATCACTTCCATCTCGTAATGCTGCACTTTTAACCTGTTGCACCACCGGGAAGGGCCCTACTTCCTCCCTTCTTACGGACTGAATGTCCACCCCAAATTCATGTTAAATCACTACCCCTCCCAATGTGCTAGAATTTGGAGGCAGAGTGTTCGGGAGGTAAATAAAGTTAAATGAAGCCCTGAAGGGGCCTTCATTGAATTAGTATCCTTATAGGAGATACCAGAGAGCTTGACTTCTCTCATTTGGCCAGATGAGGACTCAAGGAGAAGACAACCATCTGCCAACTGGGACCCCTCACTAGAGACTGGAGCCCTGATGTTGGACTTCCCAACCTCCAGATTGTCAGGGGAAACATTCCTGTTGTCTACACAGCCCAGTCTGGTATTTCATAATGGTAGCCTGAACAGATGAAACCCCTCGTAGCTCCCCCTCGCTCCTCCTGTAGCTTCCTTTCCCCTGCATCCTTCTCTGTTCAGCTTACATGAGAAGCCTCCCCTGTGGGCTCCCTCAAGTGTCCTACGTGCCCCCATCTCCACTGAGATCACTCCATGTCCTAACAGCCCAGTGATGTATTTGCCTAAGGGGAGGACCACGTAGGTCTTAACCACGTGTCCTAGTGCCCAGAACAATATCTGGTTTAGTAAAGATGAATGAATGAGTCCAACCACCAGAGAGAACGAAGCGGTTCTAATGCTTAGAAAGGATTATGGCTCGCCCACCTCCCATCTCCCTGGGTTCTTGTCTCATCCCTTTCCATCCTCAGCTACTAGAGGACTTCAAAGCTGCTGATACCATCCCATCCTCCTCTGCTCAAAAACCTCCATGGCTCCCAATACTTACAACTCATGGTCAGTAATGGTCAGGGATCCCTGAACCACTCAGTACCAGCAGCTTTTGCCTCATGGGAAATGGGCCGTTTTTAAGTCGATAATCTAGTTGGGTAATATCTCCTAACTTTACATGCTGGCGATACACTCAAATTATTTGGTGTTTGTGTTTTCAATCCCACCAGAAGTCCGTCCTCCGCGTGAGTGTACACTCCAGCCCCCCTCTTCCCAATCTCGGCTCCACCTCGGCCAGCTTCCTCCAAGAAGTCCACCTGCCTGACCCGGGCCTCACCGGTCCTTGGCGCAGCTCAGTTCCTCCAGGGCGGCGCGCAGCTGCTGGTCGTGACGGGCCAGGCGCTCGGCTTGGGCGCGCACGGTACCCTCGGCCGCGTCCAGCCGCGCCTCCAGCTCCGCCGCCCGCCGGTGCACGGCAGCCAGGTGTGCGTTCGCCTCTCGGATCTGCAGGGGCGGCGGCGCGGACATGGCCCCAGCCGCGGCCCAGGCCCGGCCACGCCCCCTGGCTGCCCGGAACTGGTCCCGGTCACGCCCCCGTGGTGGCCACGCCCCCATAGCGCTGCCTGGGTCACGCCCACCTACAACCCAAACATCCTCACTGGTTCCAGCACCTCAAAGCTCCGCCCCCGAACCCGTCCTAACCCAAGAGTAGCGCTTCTTGACAGACCACGCCCCCAGGCTGGCTAGTCTTCGGCGGCACGCCCAACTCAGGCTCGCACGGCAAAGGGATTGGTCACACCTTCGCGACAAGGCCCGCCCAACGCAGAGCCCAGCACCAGGATTGGCCCGAATCCTGGCCCGGCCACGCCCCCGGAACTGCCAGCACAGCTAGCTGAACGGGCCACGGCCACGCCCCCCACGCAATTTACAACTCTGAATTGGTCACATCTCAGCTGTAGTCGCGCCCCCACGCCTGGCGCCTACTTCGTTCCGCCACGATTAACGAGCGTTCACAGGAGCACAGGCCACGTCCCCCTCGCTCTCAGAGTACAGGATTGGTTGCTTCCCCGTTAAGCCCTGCCTCTCGACACGCCCCAAAATAGTGGCACGCGATTCCGGCTCCGATTTGGGGACTGCTCCAGGCGCCACCACGCCCCTCAGGGCACGGGCTCTGGGAGAGGCCGCGCCGCCGCCACCCCACGCCGCGTCATCAAGTCCCTGGAGAGGCCCAGGATGTGTTCGAGTCTCGCCCCCACATGAGGTCCCACCTCCAGTAGTCAAGCCATTCCTTTCCTAATCTAGGGCCGTCTGAGCTGGAGTTAGCGAGATACGCCTCCTCTGATCACTGCCCCCGCCAGAAATAAGCAGGCAGCGCGCGCTTCCAGGACGCCAGGCCCAGCCCGGCGCGTGCGCACAACACGTGTCCGTGTCCGTGTCCGCGGCACTCAATAAAGTTAAGCGTTTGTTGCCGGCAGGGCCGCAGGGAGGCTGCGCGCGCCGACCCAAAAGTCTCGCGAGAGCGGTGGTAGCTGCCCTTGGTGTGGGAATCCCACAGGTGCGAGCTGTGGGGCGAGGGGCGCGCGGCCATGGCGCAGACGCTGTTTCGGCAGTATGGAGACATCCCCGACGGCACCGAGTGCCACCGCAAGGCCTACGCCAGCACCGGTATCGGCGGTGCTGTAGGTGAGCGCCGCCGGGCCCCGAGGGCGGAGCGAGGTCAGAGGGTCACGAAGGCTCCCCGCGGGCGTCCTGGCTGGGCTTGGGCAGAGGGTAGGGGGCCAGGAGTCTCGCGGGGTGGCATGTGGTAACCGTAGGGGTGTCTGTGGCGGCGCTGGGGCGCTCTTGTATGAGGTAGGTTTTGTGGGGGTGTTGCACTAATTCAGAGGGCGCCGGGAGGTCTCTGGGAGCTGTGGGAGGAGAAATCTCGCGGGCTGGCACAGGGTCGCCTGAACGTCTTGGGTGAATATGGGACTAACTGCTCGAGATAAATGTTCAGGGGGTCCAGCAGGTCTGGAGGGTCCTGGGAGTCGTGGTTACTGGGGTCGTTAAAAGCTGTCCTGGGCGCTGGGATTTAAGAGTTGTTACTGGAGTGATCACCGACTCCGGGGGTTAGGGGAACTGGGAGGGAGCAGGAGGCTTCGCCGGAGGGAACTTGGCGATTTGGGGAGACTCGTAGGTTGCTGGAGTAACTGAGTCGCCTTTCTAGGGTCCAGGAGAGCCGGATGCTGTAGGACAGCTGACGCTTTTAATGGGGCCTTCCGGGGGTGTCAGTAAGGTCAGCATGAATTGTGTCCCTTCCTCAGAGGTGGAAACTGAAGGACGAGAGAGGTATTGACTGCTCTAGGTCTTTTGGAGCCAAGCTGCAAATCCAGATGGGCTGATCTGCTCTTGGAGGTCCTGGGGCAAGAACACACACACACACCTGGGGAGGAGGGCTGGCGCTTAACCTAGGAGGGCTGTGCAGGGAGATGGGAGGGCGCAGTAGAGGAACATTGTTCTGGCAGATTCTTTCCTGGAGAGACTAACAATTAGGGGTGCTGACAGAATTTTTTTTTTTTTAAGATTTATTTATTTGTGCATACAGAACTGGAGTACAGGCCAGAAGTGCAGGCGCAGTGAGAAGATTCACCAGAGACAGAGTGGGGAGCAGGACAGGCTGACTGACAAGTACATTGCTGAGGGGAGCAGCGGGTGGGTCAGGAGAGGTCTGCTGTGCCATGTGGGTCACCTCCGGGGCAGGGATCGAACTCGTGTTGAAGTGGCTTTAGCTTCTTAGTGTCTGCGCTTTAACCCGCTGCGCCACCAGGGAAGGCCACCTGACAGAATTTTATGGAGGGTCATGGCTGTGTCTCTGGGGAAACTAAAGCAGGAGAGGGTCACCTGAGGACTGTTTGGTGCCTTCAGAGAGGTTTGGAGAAGTGTCAGGGTTAGGGAATCTTGAAACTAAGAAAAACATTAGCTTTGCTGTTTGTGAGGGTGTGCGTGCGCACAAAGCACACTTGGTGGGGGACCGGGCATGTCCTGGGGTGAGTGCAGATTCTCCCTTGTCTCTCCTCCTTCACTCCCTGCCTCTCCTGGGTCCCCGCCTGGGATGTTGTCGCACCCGCCTTCCCTGAGGTGGTGCGCCCCTGGAGAGCTGGGCGGCCTGGCTGGCAGCAGAACCCAACCCCTGCGGTGTGCAATGAATGAACGCGTGGGAGCGTAAGAGAGCAAGTGACTGATGAGTGAAGCACAGTAACTGGTTGTGAACGAATCATGGAATCTGGCAGCAGGTACAATGCATGAAAGAGTGGAACGAGTCAGAGCACTTGGTATCTCCAGAGCACTGGGCAGGTGGGTGGCAGTAACTGTGAAGGATGAGCAACATCCTCCTCTGAATGAGTGAACGTGGGGACACCATAACTGAAGGAATGAGGCCCCGGTTGCTATGGCTGAAAAGTGGTTGAGGAGCTCAGGAGCTGAATGAGAACGCGGGTGCTCAGCACCACGGACCTGAGTGACGAGGGCGGCGTGCCGGGGCCTCCGTGTACGCTGTGATGAGCGTGTGTCAGTGGTGCGCTGTGTCTGGAGGTGACTGCGGGAGACGAAGGGGGGCCAGCGGCAGGTAAGGGTGGGGAGGAGGCCTATGGTGAAGTCTGGGTCAACGGAGGTCCCAGGTGCTGTGGACCCCACTGAAGGGGGAGCCATGACAGCTGACCGCCTTCCATCACTGCTGGGGGAGACAGGCTGGGGCAGTCCTTGCCTCTGCGGTAGTTGGGGGCACCTGGCTCATGGCTCCCAGTCCAAGGACTCCTGAGGGGATGTCGGGTGGCTGGGGCACTTACTAGGTGGGTATGCTCCGTGAGCGGGGTCCCTCTCCAGGACCACAGCCACGGGGGTAGATCAGTAAGGGCTTCCTCAGGACACTCCATGGCTGAATCATGTCAGTGGTTCCCTTTCAGGGACTTGGGGAGTTGTGAGACCCTCACTTCAAGACCTACTCCAGAGGCCATGACCATGGGGGCCCACGCATGGCTCTGGTTAATTGGTGGGGGTGGGGGGTACACTGAGAATGGAAGCTGACCGGGCTGGGGCAGGCAGCACAGGCTTCAGGGGGAAGGAGCCAAGCAGGCTCCAGCCTCTCGAAGGTCAAGCAGGGGACCTGGGGGCTTGTCGTGGGGTAGGAGAAATAAGATGTGAAAGTCGCAGGCCAGCACCTTGCATGCAGGAGCCCCCTTAACAAGTGTGCCTCTTTGCCCTCACCCCTGCACCTCTGTTTCCCTGCCTGTGGGGGTGCCCTGTCACCGGAATAGTCATGTGGGCTCCACCTGCCCCCCCCACTTGAGCCTGCTTTCCCGGGTGGCCTTTGTGGCACACAGACTTGAGGACGCAGCACAGCCTGGTCCAGACCTGCCTGTCTTCCCGGCTGCTCTGCCCGCCATGACAGCAGGCAAGTCACTCTGCCAGTCTGAGGCCCCTCACTACCCGGGAAGGGTTGGCAGAGGGGGCCAAGCCTCTGTGTCCCTGATGAGGGTGAGTGGGGTGGGGACTGTCTGCTTGCCAGGTGGCTATTAGGTTTCTGGAGTGGGTTGAACACAGGATGTCCCATGCCAGCAACACTGGGGGGATCTGTAAGGAGAGGGGGTACATTGTCTGCCCTAAGCAGGGTCAAGTAGAGGATGGATAGCGCCCCATATTGATTGTTCTGGTGACAGGGTACCAGCCAGGTGGGCCTTGGCCAGCCTCTCCACTGCAGAAGGAGGCTGCTCGGGCCTTGTCCCACTTCCCACCCTCCCAGCCCCCCTGGCCCAGGTTAGTGTTGATTCAGGAAGCCCCAGAAACACACCCAGTCCTGGCCGGCAGCCCAGCCCCCACCCAGGCTTTTCGTCCATAAAAGCCATAAAAGCCAGCGGCAAGGCCAGGGAAGCGGGAGTGATAGCAGAGATGGAAAAGCTGACCTGGGCGTCGGCCGAGCGGACGTGGGTGGCCGCCCAGCCAGCCAGGTGTGAGGGATGGGCCCAGGCCCGAGCCCCCGGCAGGAAGGGGGGCCCAGGAGTGGTGAGGAGGAGGGACTGGCAGCCCCAGGAGCCAAACCTGTGCCAAGGAGGATTAGGCCAAGGAGCCCCAGGCCCCACAGGAGAATGGAACCTTTGATGGAAGTGGGGCCTGTCTGCCAGGACTGTGGGGGTGCAGTCGGGCACTCGAGGCGCCATCCGGTCCTCATGTCCACTGAAGGGCAGCAAGATTAAAGGGGACCGGCAGGCATTCTGCAGGGCTGGCTTTCCTCGGGTCTTGAGGATGGGGCCTAGCAGGGGAGAGCCCAGCTCAGAAGCAGCAGGCTTCAGTTTGCATCCAGCTTGGCTTCCCAGCAGCTGTAGGGCCCAGGGTGCCACTCCTGGGCAGAAGGGGGCAAGGAACCACCATGGCACAGAGGGGCAGCTGGTTTTTGGGGTGGTGAGGGGACCTGCCCCAGCAGGCCACTCCCCAGCGCCAGGGTGGGATCTGACCAGCCCTGCCCTCCCTCCCCACAGGCCTGATCGCCTCTGCCTACAGTATCGCACTCAAGA